CTACGAACGGGGCTCCTGGCCTTACTACTAGGAGCAAGAAGCTACTAAAGAACCATTTAACATGATTGAAGATACAGTTGTTTCGCCTCCTTGAGCGGTACACCCTTCACAACACGACCTCAGGAAGCTCAGGTGACCCGATGCCACCATGTAGCCGTAGGTAGGTGTAGAGCCCTAAGCTAGGAGCCCACTTGGTTCATGGGCCAAGGTCTGCTCGGATAGCTTTGCTCCTTCCAATTAAGGACTATCATGGACTCAAACCTGCAAAGTGGATCTCAATGATGCAAATGAATCTGCATTGAATGACCACTTTCAAGCATAGAGATGATCTAGAGTCTACATAGCAGCGCCAGCTCCATTCAAATTCGGCCATTCCTCTGATCGAGTGGAAGGCTTGAGAAGCATGGGTCTCCTGCCCCTGGCCAAGTCTCACCTTCTCAAAGCGTGAGATAGCAATCTTTTCCAGTTCCTCCAATGGTTCCTTACCTGATGGCATCCCAATTGAACACCCTTGAAAAAGCCTTGCGTGAAAGGTATGGACTCTGGTGTTTTTGGCTATCCAAGCAGAACACTGCCAAGTGAACCCTGGGCGTTGTGGCAGTGTTCAACAATCCCTGAGGCAAGCACCCACAATGACGAGCTTCATCGCACCAGCCTGATAATGGTTCCTGGCTACAAGAGTTTGCAATACCATACTACGCAAGCAAGAACGGTAGGTCCTTGAGGAGGGGAAAACAATCATGATTTTCTATATGAATAAGGCTAACAATCTCATTTGCTCAGCTCTCTTCACACAGGTGACCAGTGACTTGGTCTCCACCCAAGAGCTTTACCGTCCAACAGCCAGCTTCCTCGCCTATTCCACGCCTCATTGCAAAAATGCTGGGCCAACGGTACTCAAAGCTGGGAAAACTCGAGATGCGGATGCTTATCCACTCAACCGCAGAAGGATGATGACAACTACGATATGTGCATTCATGATGAGTATGTGTATTTGTTCAAACGCATATGCATATATAGTATACATATATATATATAGAGAGAGAGTATATATATATATATTATATGTATGTGTGTGTATGTTATACATTATACATTACTTATTATATGTACTTGCAACTTTGTTGGTAGGGGACCTCACCCAATAACGATGCCTCCAGCATCACTTTTGACCATAGGCATGGAACAAAATGCAGTCTCTTCATTTTCTTGGCAGTCGCCTGTGCCTCTGGAACTTTTGCGTTCCAGCTGCCAACAGCGCGCTCTAACGTCCAATGGGTTCAGAAGTCATTTGCGGGCAACGCTGTAGTTCTCAACAAACCAGTCCACTGCCTGCTTGATTCCTTCCTGTATCGGAGTGAACTTGAAGTCTGGCTTGTAGGTCCTGAGCTTCTTATTTGATGCAGTCTTCTTGAATTGCCCGTCTGCTTTGGTGGTGTCATTGATCAACTGTCCCTTGAAGTCCATCGCGCTGCAAATCATCTTGGCAACGTCACCTGAATCAGAATCTCTTGATCCATCAGCCCTTTAAGGCTCAAGAACACTCTCCAGTCAAGCTGCTGATGGAAACCTCATCTTCCTCACCCACACTAAGGATAATGGGCTCGATCTCCTCAGGTTGATCAGGAAAGTCGGAAGAGATTTGGTCACAAATCTTCGTCATTCACAATAAAGCCTACACTGCACTTCCAGGTACGGGCTGCCTCATGGATGGCCACCAAATGACTAACCCATGCGCGCATCTCTGCGCATATCCCTACACTGCACCTCCGTGCCTTGTACTCACGAAGCACCCAAACGATGAGCCTCGCTAAATCTTCTGAAAATATAAATTGCCTCGTGGTGTCGCGCGGAGTGGCCACACACACTCTGTCTCTCTCCCTCTCTCTCTGTCTATCTTTCTCTCTTTCTCTCTCTGTCTATCTTTCTCTCTTTCTCTCTCTGTCTATCTTTCTCTCTTTCTCTCTCTCTGTCTATCTTTTTCTCTTTCTCTCTCTGTCTATCTTTCTCTCTCTCTCTCTGTCTCTCTCTCTCTCCCTCTGTCTCTCTCTCTCTCTCTCTCTGTGTCTCTCTCTGTCTCTGTCTCTGTCTCTGTCTCTGTCTCTGTCTCTCTCTCTCTCTCTCGGTCTCGGTCTCGGTCTCTGTCTCTCTCTCTCTCTCTCTTAGTCCTGTCCTGTCCTGTCCTGTCCTGTCCTGTCCTGTCCTGTCCTGT